AGACAGTCTTCCTTGGGTCTCTCATGCTCCTATGTGTTGTACTGACTATGCCATGGCTGCTCTTTTCCATGGGACACAACATGGGTTGTCTACGAAGCTGGTAACCTTGACAGATGAGGCAGTCTCTCCCTCTAAGCGAAAAAAAAAAAGGCTTATTTACGGCCTGCTATAAAAGTGGTAGACTCCCCAAGCTCAGGGTTCCTTAGCTGTGACAGAAACCCACTGAGAACACAGCATCCACCCAGGTTCATCGTGCAGAGTGGGGGCAAGGAGAATCGATGCAAATATGCTGCTTGCTGTGCTGTGAGTAATAAAGTCCTTTGTCTCTGGAATCTCATGACTTCTGTAAATCAGACCCAATAGAATCCATATCTGATACACAGTGAAGGGTTTTAAGCACACACCTGCCCAAGTTCAAACTCCATACTGGGCCCTCACAAACAGCTGCATTTAGTCACCCACCAGCTTAATGGGTGGCCCTCTGGTGTCCTGGTCCATGCTTCATAGAACATATTTTGTTCAGGTAGAGATCCACACAAGCCCTAGAAATGGACTAAGATCCTTCAGACAGGGAATTCCAGGGTCCTAGGTACCAGGGTATGGTTTGAAGGGGTACAGTGAGAGCTCTGGATAGACACACCCCCTTGGTCCTGCTGATCACTCTTCCCAAGCAGAGGGGTGTGGCTAGAGGAAGCCAGAGCAAGGTCCTCTAAAACATGGGGTGGAAAGCAAGGCCCTCTTGTCCGGGTCTGCACTTGGCCCTTGCTTCAGAAGGGCAGTGTTCTCCAAGGAGAGAGGGGTGCACAGCAGAACAGAAACCAAAGTAAGGACCCATTTAAAAGTTAAGTGGCTGAGTTCCAGTCCCCATTCTACCTCTAAATGTTTAGATGACCTTAACCTCACTGGGCCTCCGTTTCCCCTTCTGTAAAATGAAGTGATTAGAAGTTAGGTAAGATGATCTCTGAAATACACTTCAGGTGTAAGCTCCTGTGATTCTACAAATCAGGGCTCGAGGAAGGGGTACTCACAACAAAATAAAAAATGAATAGGACAAGCTAAGTCACGAATCCCGAAAACTGTTGGGCTAGGTGGTGGTGTGTGTGTATCACTCACTCGTGCAGAAAAAAAAGAATGTAAAGAGGGAAAGACAGGACTTCTCAGGAATGAGACCAGGGCAGGGCCAGAGAGCCTGCAGCTCGGAAAGATGAACACGCACAGGGAAGCCAGGAGGATCTTCCAGCAGCCACACTCGGGTCTCGCCTACACTTTAGAAGTGAAAATGCATTCCTGACTGAGCACAGGAAGGAGGCCTCCAGGGAAACTCTCTCTCATCTCACACATTTCCTGAGGGCACACAATTAGTGGATCACCAGCACGGGGGTGTGAAGGTGCTTTCACACATCTCAGCTCTGCTCCGAGGAGGCCCCAGGTGAGCGGAGCATAGCGGCAGAAGGGTTCAGAGGACCTCGTCTCCTCTCTGTCCGCCCCCCTCTGCCAGCTTTCTGAGCTCAGCTAAAAGGGTCTTTCACCTAGTGGCCAATTAATATGTGAGGTGGCTGCTGCTGAGTGTGGTACGGACCAAAAGATACAGAACTGACTCTAATCTGAGCGCTCATTTTCATCTGGATGGAAAAGTCTTTTGTGGGGGGCAGCAAAGAAATAGTAACATGGGAAGAGAGATAATTTTTTCTTTACTTTGGTCAATGATGAAACACCGACGCGCCTTTCCCGCCATGTCCTGCCACATGAAACAAGAGCACCCAAGGTGTCCCGTCCCACTCCTGCTGACCCAAGTTTCTAGTCACTCATAGCAGTCACCTTGACCTCTGTCCAACTACCTCCAAAGAACAATGGTACAAGGAACAGAAACAGAACACAAACACAGGTGTGTGTCCATGAGGCCCAGCCCTGTACTTAGTCCAAACACTGGGTCACTTGCACGATGTGATGTGACGAAAGGGTCCAAAAGTCTCCCCTTACCACACACCCAAAACACCAACTCCTCATGGCCGGTTTAGGGCGGGAGACCACCACGGTTTACGTCACAGTCACACTGGCCAGTGTGGTGCTCTCTGAGCAGGGGAGGCCTCCTTGGTGGGGAGCAGGAAGAGGTTAGAGGGACCAAGACCACCATCCCTGTGGCATCGAGAGCAGCTCTGCTTTTATTTCCTGACCCCTTGAGTCAAAATACACTGAAAGCTGCTGGATTAGAAATTATAACCCTAGGAGCTCCCTGATAAGGTTATATCTGTGGGAACCTTACGGGTCAATCAGTTACCAACCAGGAGAGGTAAGTGGTGTGTTTTTTTAAATCCTCACTGGAGCATGTTGGTTTTTTTAATCAGTTTTTTAGAAAGAGGGAGGGAGAGAAAGAGGCAGAGAGAGAAACATCGGTGTGAGAGAGAAACATCGATCGGTTGCTTCCCATATGCAGCCCAACTGGGGATCGAACCCGCAACCTAGGTATGTGCCCTGACCGGGAACAAACCTGCAGCCTTTTGGTGTACGGGACGACGCTCCAACTAACTGAGCCACCCGGCCAGGGCGGAAGAGGGATGTCTTGAAGAGGGAGAAGAAATTCAAGGAGAGCACACAGAGGACCTCGGGGGGAACCACAGTGGAGGCTCCCGACAGTCACGGGACAGAGCAGAGACCCAGGTCATCCGGTAGGTTTTGCTCAGTAGAGGTCCCAGAGGCTGAGTGACTGGGGGAAGATTCCACACAGTAAAGAAGATAGAAGAAAAACCATCGCTGACTGAGAAAAGAGCGAGTTATGCTGACCCCAAGCTCAAGTACGCCATATGTCCCCATGCCTCATATTATATAATATTTAATATCCTATAAAAATAGCTATGGCTGTTATTTAAAAACATAAAACAATTGGCAAAATCGGGTTGCTGTTCTATGGAATAGTCAGTGTTCCTCAGATGGTAGCTATTTATCAAATCTGATAGAAATGAGGAGTCTGTAGAAATACGTTTATCGATATAAAAATATGGCCAGTGTATTTTGTTAAACGGAAAATTTTCTTAACCAAAGAACACATACAATAGAAATGCACATATGTATAAAATACTCCAAATTTATAAAACGTATAAAATATTCAAAAATGTAAATATATGTCTGGGTAAAAAGGCTGCAATTTTAAAAATAACTGTATTTTCTAATTTTTTTCTACAATGGCCATGTGTGGGTTTTTGGGGGGTTGTTTTTTGTTAAAGTTTTTTTCAGGTCAGCCTGGAGAGGGAAAGAGAGATCTGCCCTTTATCACCAGCACCCGCTGTTCCCAACATAGCCTTGCTGTGCCTCTGCTGCCCCCGTGTGGCTGAGGGAAGACATGACACCTGGAACCCGGAGGCAAGCCCCAATCTGGACCAAGCTCCAAGGTTATCTTGTATGGATTCCTGTTCCCCTATCACAAGTTCACGGCCTGGACTTGTCCCACTCATGAACACCAGGCTTCCATGACAGGAAGAGCTAGGACATGCGTGGGAAATCCTATCTCCTGATGCTAAAGAGATGGATGCAGACCCTGGTAGGGGGTCGGGACCCAGAGGACCACTCCCGCAGGAGGGAAGGTGGAGACTAACAGCCAAAGGTGACTGTGACACCAGAATCCTAAAATAGTATTGGAAACGTCTCCTTTGCCTCAGGGGGTGAAGGTGATGACACACGGGGCTGCTGATGGTTACTCACTTCTGCCATCTGTCTACAGAGCACCTGAGGCTACGTGAGCGCGTGTTCCCAGAAACGCAGAGGGAAGTTCAGTGGGTTCACAATGCCCGATATCCCACCCCACCATGGTAGTTTTAACTTACGATTAATCAGCCTGCTGTTTGAGCAACAAACCATGAAGATCTGATAATGTTATTATCAAACGACAGGCAAATAGATTTAACCCGAGCCTTTAGCATTTGCAAAATTGGTAGAAAGCGTTAATGCTAAGCCTTAAAATGATTAACATTTTGTTTACCTAAAAGTCAATTTTTCTCTGCTTGAATTGTGGGATCTATAATAACAAAGGGCAACAGGATCCCCTGGCGAATCCCCTTACTCTCAAAGCACAGGTACGCACCATGTGCACACACAAACACTCGCATTCTGTTTGAAACTCCCCAACTGCCCGTTTCTTAACCCTGGACTTTAGCCCCTTTCTCCTGCATATGACCCGGGGATAAAACTCAATGTGGTCCTCCTACAGGGTGGCTCCGGAGGCAGAATGTCTGCATTCAAATGCAGCTCTAGCATTCGCTGTGTGACCATGGGCAAATCACCCAACCTTTCTGAGTCTGTTACCTCCTCTATATCACGGGGTAGTTATAGGACCACCTCACGGGGCTGTTGGAAGGTTAAATGAGTTAATATCTATAAAGTGCTGAAAATAGTGCCTGGCACAGGGAGTCCCAGAGAAACTCATTAACTCATTCTGTCCTTTGGTTATGTTTCAAAATGGGTTTGAAATGTAATTAATTAGATAATTAATTTTTTGAAAACAGTAATTAAAAAACAAATTTGATTTTCTCTTTTTTCCCCCCACTAATAAAGACCATTTCTCACTAAAATTGGGTGACAATGAAGTGGCCAGAGCCTCCTTGCCCAGCTCTCAAGGTTGATGCCCCTTTCAGGAGAATCAGGCTTATTAACTATTCTGCTCCAGGCCTCTCCTTAACCCCCTTCAACACAGCCCTTGTCAGAATCAGCCTCTTCATGTCCACGTGTTTTAGGAAAAGTAAAGAGCATGCATGTTCATGGGTGTGTATGCACAAGCATGTGTGTCCACATGTGTGTGTGTGGGGGGGGGTCACATGCCTGCATGTGAGCACGTGTGTGTTGCGTGTACATGTCTCTCTGTGGTACAGCTGTCCCGACCATCCTGAAACAACTATACTTGCAGTGGGATGCCCTCCACTGTCCTCCCAGCTCTGGCCCGGATCTCTCCGCCCCCTTTCCCCGCTTTCCATCAGGCAGTCCCACCAGCTCCTCACTCCGGCAGCACTTACCTGTTGGTGTTCTCCAGGACCTCGACCTTCTTCCGAAGCTCCAAGTTCTCGGTGGAACAAGACTCCACCCTGCACAGGGCACAGAAAGAAGCAAATTTGTGTGATCAGTAGAGCGCTGAGCCAGGAGCTCGAGTGGGGGTAACTGGGGGTCAGAGCAGGAAGACGGGGAACCAGCTTCTCCATCGAGGTGAGGGAAAGAGCCTGGCCAACCTGAGCTGGGGAAAGGGTGAGGAGACAGAAGGGAAAAAATCGAGGTGAGTAGCAAGTGCCTCGATAATAGAAAACAAACAGGAGGGTACAAAATGTGAGCTTCCCTTAGGGTTTCCCTCCTGGTTTTCTCTCACCTCCCTCCCGCTCTCAAGGCCCATCCCTCTTCTCTCTCTGGACCACAGGGCCTGGGTGCCACCAGCTGTGCTGCAGGCCAGGAGGAATAACAGGAAACCAAGGGGCTTGCGGCAGGGCGAGAGGAGAGGAGGACCCAGGACCCCAAGACAGGAATCCAGGAGCTGGAGCGTGCATGCCCCAAGGAGGCGAACAAGAGGTGTTCACAGAAACCTCTTGACCCCGGGTGCCTACTGAAAATGATGGAACCGAATGGGACCACTTAAGGAAAACCAACTTTCAGTAGAAACTTCAAGAGCCAGCCAGGATCCTTGACCACGCCTTTCCCCAGACACACCTGAAGATTCCTTTCGAAATCTGGGGCCTCATTCCCACCTAGAAATGCTATTAGTTTTTCGGCTAGAGAATTATTTTCTAGGGCCAGCGCAAAATTGTATTTAACGTGTGTTCTTCTAAAGGCCCTCCTGATATTCCAGGCTTTTCAGAAGAGCCAAAGCTGCCTTGCAGGATTTTTGTGACAAGCCTGTCACCTGTAGCATGAATCACGGTGGGCAGAAAATAACAAGGCCAACCTGACTTTCACTCCCTGTCCGCCTCCTCCAGGGTGGGAGGGTGTGGCCGAGCGAAACCGACTTTTCGGCTGGGCTCCCCCCTTCGGCTGTTCCAGGCGGCGTGAATGTGAATGTTTGCACTGGTTTGTGAAAGGGAGCCTCCAAGGACTCAGGATCTTTGCTTGGAAATGGTGTGGTCCAAATGCCCGCTAAGCCTGAGTGCCTGGATGGACCTTGAGAATATCAGCGAAATAAATCAGACAGAAAAAGTCAAGAACCCTATGATTTCACTCATATGTGGGATAAAAAATGGAAAGGAACAGAACACACAAGAAAAAAAGAAAATTCATAGACCCAGACAACACTATGACGGTTACCAGAGGGAAAGGGGGTGGGGAGGGTCGTAAAGGGGAGAAGGGGTCGAGTGTATGGTGAGAGAAGATTTGACTTTGGGTGGTGGGCCCACGATGCAATATACAGATGATGTATCATAGAAATTTACACTTAAAACCCATATAATCTAATTAACCAATGTCACCCCAATAAATTTAATAATAATAAAAGACTGAGGGTACCCTTACTTCTTGCCATTATCTAAGCTTCTTCTCAAAACCACTAGGTGGCAGGCGAAACACAATTGATAGCCCAGGAGTTTCAAGCACTGGCCGCCGGGCAAGGACTTCAGGGGCCCCCCAAGGAAAGCAGGGGCCCGGCCCGCTCCCCATTCCTCTGTGGATATTGCCCGAGCAATGTAACCAGTCTGGCCAGAGACTTACTTTTTCTCCAAGCTGTCCATGTATTCTTTCTTCTTTCTCCTGCTCTCCTGCGCAGAAATCTGGGATACAAGCGAAGGAAAAACGATTAAGTTCCAGTTATATCGGAAAGCCTATGGCGTCGACGGAAGAGAGGCCATTAGCCCAGGAATCACTTCTGTGGCCTCTCCTCATTTGTCTAACACAGAACAATGGTCTGCAGAAATTTTTATTAAAAAACCCCAATAAAAAAAAAAAAGATTAAGCCAGGACTCATGAGTATTTATATTTATTTATAAATTACAGACAGACTGGGTGAAAAAGGTGAAGCGATTGAGAAGTACAGGTTGGTAGTTACGAAACAGTCATGGGGATGTAAAGTGCAGCCCAGGAAATATAGTCAATAATATTGTGATAACTGTGTACGGTGCCAGGTGGGTAGTGGAAATATC